GATAATTTATTCAAAATACCCCAAAACCAAGGTTAAAAATTGTAAGAATTTTAATTGATGCTTGTGATTAAGTCAATGCATCAGTATTGGTATTCATCCGTGGAACCCAGATAAAGCCTTATCCAACGAATTAACAAACAAAACATCAAACGCAATACCAAACCCACATATATATTTAATTCTTCTTGCAAAAAATTAACATCTGACGCCGAATTACTTACAAATTTGCGCAATTTTGAAGCAATCAATTCAAACATTAAATCAAGCACTGATAGTTATTGTACAAATATTTCGACAGTCTATTTAGATTATTATCCTCCAAATACAAAAAATTTCTCAGCAAAGGATGAAAATTGAGTACAATTTAATGGAGCAAAACGAATGAGTTGAAATTCACCACTTTGACACTCGTATTTTTCAGATATATCGATTAATATTGAGTTTTATTTGGGATGGAAAACATACTGAAAAAACCTGGCAATATCAACACCTTTTTATTATAATATGAATAAATAAAAATTTGTTTTATTTTCCAAAAAGAATATATGATACATTTTTATTTACAGGTTAAAAACTGTCTAGCTTTTGCTTTTAGTGCTCGACCAGAGGCATACATTGAAATACAATTCCTCTCCTTGGTTTGTGTAGTGATCTGAATCTTCTCAAAACGATGATATTGACTATTATTATATGCAATTGAATGTATTTATTGAATATTTCGAAATTTTAATATAAATAATTTATTAAAAATAAAAATTGAACGTAAAACGTACAAAAAATATTAATTTGAAAGCAAATTAAAAATTAATCGAATACGATTAATTTGGAACTTTTACCTTTTGCCAATAAATATTAAAAATAAAATTTTGGGAATTGGAACTTAAGAGTAGAGAGACCTTTGTTGATATGTATGAGGCTATGTATTTATGTGTAGATCTGAGTAAGCTTGGTTATCATTATAGCGGTTTCTGATGAAATTGAGAACCTCGGGAGACCCATAAGACCTTTGTTGATATGTATGAGGCTAATGTATTTGTGGCGTAGTCATTAAACCCATCTTGCAAATTAGAATATTATTTTATTTGTTATATTGAGCTTTCTTTCCTGATAATTTGCATATCTTCAAAATCATTAAAGACAGTACAAATCAGTTGTTTTTTCGGTTGATTAATCTTAATTCTTCGCATTATATTTCTTTTTTTTGAAAAATCTTACTGTTTGGGGAAATTCTCTTTGCGAAATCTGTTGGTGCCCTGAGGATTATCTGGGTTGAATAAAAATATGTTCAATTTCCCCTTTCGCATCTCCATAATAATTAATGAAATTGTGTTTATATTTTCCCGAGAGGTGTGAAAACGTTCCCACTTCTTGAGAGGTACGTTTTGCAAATTTTTCTTCTTCATACATAGAAGATTTTTGGGAAGATGATTGATCTCTACATGATATTATATTCATATTGTCTACATTGGAGCCTTAACAATATTAAATTGCAGGGTTTTTCAAATCAAAAAAAACTAACTTTCGCTCTTTCGAGGTCAAATCAGCAAGTGCTCTTCTATATTAGGTGTTGGATATATTATCAAACTGAAATGAAACTTTCCAGAGATGTCCATAAAATATTTTGCAAAACATCCCTCTCCAAAAGTGGAACTTTTTGCAATTTTTCTTTATTTTTTGTACCATTATCGGTCCATAGAGCGAAAATGGGGACCAGTATTGTGCTTAATGCACGTTTGAGTACATTTTGGTT